TTTTTTTTTTTTTTTTTTTTTGCACAATCGAACAGTCAACTATACTGACAAACCTACATCATTTGATCAATTGGATCAGTATTTCGGTGTCGTTTGATCACCCTACTCAAACTAACCATAAGTTCAGTGTAACTAATGGATAGACCCACTCCTCACTCTCGCTCTATTGAAGTAGTCTCCTACTTAAAAAACTCTCCATCTGCACCTTGATCCGCGATTAATAACCATTCCAACTTCATGTTCCCAATGAGACTCCTAGAATATTTGTCTAAAAATGGTCGAAAATTTACTACATAAAATCTTGGAGGTCCTATAATTGTGTTTGAGAATTTCCGTAGGATCAAGCCAGATCAGTTGCTTGCTACACTGTTTTGTTGATTTATGTCCAATATTTTTCACTCTCGTATATAAATGAAAAGAAAAACATTAATGAATGAAACTCAAATAGAGTAGCGGAAACACCAACCTTTTGAGTAAAACAATGCATATTACCCTCGACTTTGGTCAACAGATAAAGGCACTCGTTCCCTTCTCCAATTGATGTGGAATTCCCAATCCACCCCCTTTTGGTACCAAGTGTTCTTGCTGGCATACTGCATCGTGTCCACCCCCTTTAGGGCTTAGCCTCCTTGCTGACACATCGCCTAGTGTCTGATTCTAATATCATTTCCGCTACTCTATTGTTTTACCCACCACTAGCATATATTGTCCTTTTTAGGTTCTCCCTTTTGGGCTTCCCTTCAAGATTTTTAAAGCACATCTACTAGGGAGAGGTTTCCACACTCTTATAAAGAATGTTTTGTTCTCCTCCCCCAACTGATGTGGGATCTCACACTCAACATCCTCGTACTCAAATTGAGCTATAGAATTTATATGGTTAGGATGAGACCTATCTTCTATAGAGAAAACATGAATTCTATTGACTACACCTTTGAGGCTCACAACTTCTTTGTTCGACATTTGAGGATTCTATTGACATGACTAAGTTAAGAGCATGACTCTGGTACCATGTTAGGTACCACAACTCTCCGCAATGGTATGATATTGTCCACTTTGAGCATAAGCTCTCATGACTTTACTTTGGACTTCCCCAAAGACCTCATTTCAATGGAGATGTATTCCTTACTTATAAACCCATGATCATTCTCTAAATTAGTCAAGGTGGGACTCCCTCCCAACCATCCGAAATGAACACCCTGAATGAGCACAAATACTCAACAAAGTAGAAAAAGTCTATCTCATTTAATTTTACATTACTGCAATGCATCCCTGATGCTAGTGTTGTGAGCCGAAAGCGGAACAAATGTACTCACAACACCAATGAACGAAATTACACAAAGAGACATCAAGATATTTACGTGGTTCGGAGAGAAGAAGTTTCCCTACATCCACGGGTAGCAACCAATCACTAATAAACAAAGTGTTACAAGTGCATACCTCATTATCACACTACAAAGACTCACATCAATGTCACTCAAGAAATATAATGTGACACATAAAACTTAATTTTTTCAACAGAATGGCATTATATAGCCTTTGGTTGAACCTAAAATATTAGCGAAACTAACCAAACCTAAAAATATCAGTGAAACTTATCCTAGAGAATAGGACTAATCAGTCATAAAGAATAGTACCTTATAACAATTTACAACAATCTCCACCTTGTTATAATATCTCCAAGTTGATAACTGATTTGGTTGCCACCACGTCAACACACTACTCCTTTCTTCCGATGTTGATGAAATCCAAACAATGCCAGAACTTTTCACGAGCGATCACCTTGTCAACATATCAACAGGGTTATCAGCAATTCCAATTTTTAATAAATGAATGTCCCATTCACTAATAATTTCTCGAATAAAGTGAAAACGGACATCAATATGTTTAGTACGCACATGATGGACTTGATTTTTTGACAAACAAATAGCGCTCTGGCTATCACAAAACACATCTATATGTTCCTACAAAATACCCAAGTCATTGATCAAACCATGCATCCAAATAGCTTCTTTAAAAGCTTCCGTTACTGCCATATACTCTACTTCGGTGGTAGACAATGCAACAATAGACTGCAATGTTGAACGCTAACAAACAGATCCACCAGCCATAGTAAATAAATAACCCGTAGTAGATCGTCGCTTATCCAAATCACTAGCATAATCAGAATCCACATAACCATCTACAAGGTTGTCAAGATTAAACATTTCTTGTTTTTGAAACTTAATACCAACATCAATAGTACCAAGAATGTACCTAAGAATCCATTTGACAGCCTGCCAATGCTCTTTACCAGGATTATGCATATAACGACTCACCATGCTTACTGCGTGTGAAAGATCAGGTCGAGTACATACCATAGCATACATCAAAGCACCAACAACATTTGTATAAGGAATATTCTCCATATACCTTTTGTCATCGTCAGAACTTGGACACACAGAAGCACTAAGCAAGTGGAGTACCAATGGGTTTGGTTGAATTATTCAAACTAAATCTTGTCAATACCTTGCGTAGATATTGAGACTGAGTCAACTAGACTGTACCTTTTTTTCGATCTCGCTCTACCTCCATTCCAAGTATTTTCTTTGCATTGCTAAGTCTTTCATTTCAAATGTTTTAGAAAGCTGATTCTTGAGCTTATCAATCTCCATCTGTCTCTTTGAAGCAATTAACATATCATCAACATATATGAGCAAATAGATAAACGATCAATCATCGAGACACCGATAGTACACACAATGGTCAAATTGACTATGAGTATACATATGCTCTACCATGAAATGATCAAACTTTTTATACCATTGGCGAGGAGTTTGTTTCAGCCCATACAAAGATTTCTTCAATCTGCATACCAAATGTTGCTGTCCAACTACTCGAAAACCAACCGATTGCGCCATATATATTTCTTTTTCCAAATCTCCATGCAAAAAAGCAGTTTTTACATCGAGTTGTACAAGCTCAAGATTAAATTGAGCAACCAAAGCCAACAAAATTCGAATGGAAGAATGTTTTACCACAGGTGAGAAAATTTCATTGTAATCAATACTTCTTTATGTGCATAGCCTTTAGCCACAAGTCGAGCCTTATAACGTATACCAGAAGAATCTTCTTTTTTTTTTTGCAAAAACCCATTTACAACCAATTTCCTTCTTACCTTTTGGAAGTTGTTCCAAATCCCAAGTTTGATTTATCTCTAATGATGTTATCTCCTGATTCACAACCTCTTGCTAGTGCAATCTATTCGAGTTCTGGATAGCATCTTTGTAACTGTTGGGAACTCCATCAATCAAGGGAAAAGCATATGCTATCGTATCATCAAATCTTGCAGGTTTTCGAATTTCCCTGCGTGGTCTATTCTTGGCGATGGACTCAGGTTCTTCTACTCTTTCATTTACAAGGCTTTGCTCCTCCTGTTCTAAGACATCAGAGTTATTATCTACCTGATCAATAGATTCTTCAGTGGGAGCAACCATATCAGGAGAGAACACCACCTTCTCCACCTGCTTCAATGCCTTGTCATTATTTTCAATTTTCTGCAAAAACATTCCAGACTCATCGAATGTCACATCTCGACTATTAACAATCTTACCTGTTTCTAGACACCATAACCTATAGCCCTTCACGCCTTTGCTAAAGCCCATAAACTTGGCGTTTTTTGCTCTAGGATCCAGCTTTGAGTCTGTCACATGATAATAAGCAGAACACTCAAACACATGCAATTTATCATAATCACTAACAGGAGTACCTGACCATACCTCAAGCGAAGTTTTTCCACCATTTCCAGAAACAAGTAAACGATTCACCAAGTGAACTGCATAACTGAGAGCCTCAGCCCAAAATGCCTTACTCAATCCTGCTTGAGACAAAATGCATCGAACCTTTGTTAGATAAAACCTGAGTTTTACCATTTTTCTTATTCACACGATTTCAGAAAATCGTCAGTTTGA